AAAAGCCAATTATTTCCTTCATCTGAGTGCTTTTAAAAAAAGTAATTTGGAACAAAAAGTATAAAGCCAGTGAGCTCATTATCACCCACCATATCAGCAAGTTCCCTAAATGGTCTTCCCATCAAATCGCTTGGTTTATTCTCCACAGAGCATTTATTCTCCACGGTCCTAAAAGTGTCTTGTGGTAGAATACATTATAATTACCTTTCTGTCATTGCAAGACGTACTGCAAAACAACATGGCTTATCCAGAAGAAATTTTCATGGTCCTTTATTTGACTTGTATGGGCCAATTTTTGGTTATGTAGGCCAATTAGAGACAAACCAAAGAGGTAGATATGTTGCACACCAGAAAAAAAAAGATTGACTCGAGATATCCAATTATTTCTATTGGTAGGTGGATCAGGTAGATTTCTTAGACAGTCAATTCACTGCAGCATTGCTCAGGCAGGCCTCCAAAATGTGTCCGGTGTCCGTTCCAGGCCCACCAGTGCCATTCTGACCCATTCACAAGGCACCTTTCTTCTCTCTTGTGCATGCATTTTTTAATGCAGCGGCTATATGTGTAAGTGTAAGTTACACTAAGTGAAAATAGCTATATATTATATTTCCACTATATAAAAATAGTCATATTTTCCATGTCCGTTCTGGTGTCCACATTGGTGTCCGTGATCGTACAGATGTCCAATGTCCGTTCCGGTGTCTATGCCTACGTCCGTGCTGGTTTCCAATGTCCCCCTAGTGGGACAGGTGACTTACTGGGTGAAACTTCTCAGCGACTATAGGATTTTCTGACCATAATGTGGTGCATCTTCTCCCCACATACAGACCTGTGCGTCCAGACAGGTGTGGTGTGGTGTGGAACGAGGGGTGCACTTTAGTCCTACTGGGCATTTTTGACTGTACCGACTGGTCCATTTTCCAAGACTCGTCCAACAGCATGGATTAACTGACTGATGCAGTATGCAGATACATACAGGGGTTGGACAAAAAAACTGAAACACCTGGTTTTACTATACAATAATTTGTTAGAATGGTGAGGGCCTCATTTTGCATCCAAATACAGCACCAATTGACAGATAGAAGTCCTTCACAGTGAAAAGAGGGATTATGAGCCGTTCCTCTTCCAGAACAGTGTCCAGGTCACTATATGATGCTGGTGGACTCGCTCCTCCAAAACACCTCAATAATATTCAGATCTGGTGACTGTCAGACCATGGGAGATGTTCAACGTCACTTTCATCTTCATCAAACCCTTCTGTCACAAGTCTTGCTGTGTGTGTTGGTGCATGATCATGCTGATACACGGTTTGAGCATCAGGTGCTCATGATCCTCCAGAAGGGTTTGGTAGTCCTCGGCAGTGTCATGTCCATCAAATACAATCAGGATTGTCATGATATTGGAGCTCAAACCATCACTGATCCACCCGTGCTTCACTCTGAAGATTGGCCGCCAGGCATAGATGTGAAACCTCCAACATTGGCCAGTGTTTCAGTTTCATTGTCCAACCCCTGTATCTTTATGTGTGAAAAGTGTGATCCCAAATAAGATAGTTGTTTCCGATCCCAATAATAAGCCCTGGATATCTAAAGAACTGAAACATCTGTTCAGGGAAAAGAGGACTGTTTTTAATAGTGGTGACAAAACTGCGGAAATTAGCTGAAATTAGGATGGTTGTGCGAGCTGAAATAGTAAAGGCTAAACTTCAATATAAAAGGAAAATTAAGTCCAAATTCAGTGAGTCTGATCCCAGATCTTTGTGGAATGGCATGGAACTAATGACAGGTCTACACAAAGGCACTAGCACTGTGTCCTTAAATGGTTTTGATTCTGATGAACAGCTAGCAAATTAATTTAATTAGTTTTTATATGAGATTTTCCAACAGTGATTTTAGTGCAAAAATCACATGAGTGAGAATGTGGTCAGTGATTGTTCAGTTCTGGATTTTGATGTTGATATATCTATGGTCAAATAATTAAACAAAATAAGGTTAGAAAAAGTCCTGGCCCTGACAGTCTCATGATCCCAAGACTTACACTCAATCACTCAACAGTGCCAAAGATTTGTAAACCCCAAGGTCTTAAATGACTTTCGACCTGTATCACTCACTTCATTGGTGATGAAGACTTTTGAAAAGTTGGTTAAGCAGGAGTTACTGAAGCAGGTGGAGGATTGGTTTGCTTACAGGGCTGGCAGAGGAGTCAATACTTACATTGTTAAATTCCCTTTATCAACATCTGGAATTCTCAAAATGCCTCATGCGAGGCTCCTTTTTATCGACTTCTCTTCAGCATTCAATGCCATTCAGCCCTACTTGTTGGCTGAGAAACTTCAGTCTCTTTTTAACTTGATCCCTAACTTAATTGTCTGGATACTGGATTTTCTGTCGAGCAGGTTGCAGTGTGTCAGGGTTAATGGTGTCTTATCCTCAAAAGCCCTTACCTCCACAGGCTCTCCTCAGGGTTGTGTTCTTTCGCCATTGCTTTTTATTTTATTTTATGACTGTAGGAGTAAGTATGAGAATAGGCACTATGTGAAATTTGCAGATGACCCTGTTATAGTGACCCTTTTGAACAATGATGAGGATGAGCATGGCCCTGGAGTTGATGATCTGTCTATCAACGTTTCCAAGACAAAGGATATGATTATTGATTACTGTAGATTACAGCACAATGTTTCAGAAACTATTATTCAGAACATGAATGTTGAGATAGTAGATATAAATATTAAGGAACCATCATTGACAGCAAATTTTCTTCTCAGAGCAACAGAGATGCTGCCTTTTTATCAGCGCAGTCTCATCCCAAGACGTCATATAACTGACGTCTTGGGACGTCTTTTGACCATACGTCAACATCTGCCTTTATAGGGTACCCTTAAACGCCGGTTAGATGACGATCCCCGGCCGTCATACAACTGACGCTTTACCTTTAATGTCGGTTAGGTGACGGGGTAGGTTTAGGTCTGGGGTAGGGTTAGGATCCGATGTCATCTAACCGACGTTTAAGGGTACCCTAAAAAGGCGGATGTTGACGTATGGTCAAAAGACGTCCCAAGACGTCAGTTATATGACGTCTTGGGATGAGACTGCGCTGGTAAAAAGGCTTAACAGAGACTATTCTTCTTGAGGAAGATGAAATTATTCATCATGTGCAGGACTCTTGATCAATCTTGACATTTTGTATTTTGGTGTGGTACAGTAGCCTTTCAATGATCAACAAGCTTAATCTAACAAAGCAGGTAAACGCCACGTCTAAAGTGGTTAGGGTACAGCTACCACAGCTGCAACATATGATAAACGGGTCCGGGGTAAGGCTAACCAAATTTCAAATTGCCCCAATCACCCACTCTTTGGGGAGTTTAATCTACCCATGCTGGTGTTCGTGATCGTGTCGATGCCCGTACCAGCATGTCCGTTGCCGTGCCATTGTCTGTGATCATGCCAATGTCCGCGCGAGTGTCCAATGTACTGGTGTCCGAGCCTTGTGTCTGTGTGTTCTTGGTCCAGGCCATGCGTGTCGCACAAGCCCTGAAAAGTGAAGCCAAAACGTCTCGATCACCCCCCGGTGGCTGGTCCTAGTATATGTCATAAAACTAGTTATTCAACGAGACTTGATACAAACTAAACAATTAAATTACACTTCAAATATCTTTTTCCAAAAATGGTTTCTGTCGTCTGCTGTCGTTTTTACTACGCTGATGTCAGTTCAAGTGTCTGTTTTAAAATAAGTTTGTTTTAGTTAATTACGTGATGCTATTATAACGTTGCTGTAACGTCATGATTGGCAGCTGTGATTGTCAGGTTCTCTGTCACTGAAGCACCGTTCGGACTTTTTTACGGGATCTTCGGAGGACTGAGGAGATTGTATTTACTTTATTTTAACTTGTCGTACTCCAATCAGACATGAAAATTGGAGCAGAACTGAGCAACAGAGCAGACATAGGCTACTTGGAGAGTGCATTCTGCGAGAATAAGGGCGGGGTTTGATTCCTGCTCAATACTGTGCAGGTCTTGTCCCAGGATGTCAGCGCCATATCAGGACACTGACAGCTTCACTTCTCACCAATGTGAGAGAGCGAAGGGGCTTTGTCCATCTTTTTTTACAGTCTATGGTCTAGTCCCACCATTGCTATTCATAAGGCAGCTTTCTTCTTTCTTGTGCAGTTTTTTTTTTTTAATGCAGCGGCTATTTGTGTAAGCCTAAGTAGCAACTTGATTCTATTTACACTGAGGGAAAATAGTAATAGATTCTATTTTTTTACTGTATAAAAATAGCAATATTTTCTTTGCAATGTAAAAAGTAGTTAGATGCTGTATTTATACTATATTTTGGGTGTGTCCATGAACCCATTCGCTCTGGAATGCCAAGGGGAAAAATCCATTTTGTGGGAGAAGCAATTGAGGAACCCTGAAGTCCTGCAGTACCCATCATGCTAGAGTCCTCTCACATTGTGGTCGCTACACCAGAGTCTCGTCATATTATGGCTGCCAGAGACAAGATACTTATCCACATGATGTCTTGAATGTCCCAAAAATATTAATCATTTTTTTACCAAAAATTAAGTTACTGCCTTTTGCCTTGGTTGGGCAGCATGGCACCATTACCAACCCATTTTAAGGTATGTCAGTGCAAGTTGCTTTCAGTTAATACAGTTCAAACATTCACTTTATTTTGGGACTAGCTTTGTCTGTCAACCGGGCAACAGGGTGTTACAATTATTGATGCATGGTTAGATCTTTTTGGAGTTGAGCAGCTCTTCTCAGACTCATACCTAACAGACTGCACCACATGCTGAATGGAATAATGATGCCTGAGATCCCATTCTTTGAAAAAATGCAATTTTCTTCATGCAGATCAGGGAGGTATCAGCTCCATTTAAGAGATCTGAAAATCGCACTTGCTTTGATGCAAACGGTCAGGTTACTTGAACAGAAATAAAGATTGAAGCGCTGATTGTAAAGATTTAGCACAATCAATACACAAGCAATACACACAACATATCTGTAAATCATTTTATTTTGGACGGCAAAATAAAATAGCTTGAGTAGCTGCAGTGTGTTTAAAAATAGAAATAGGCCATCAGTTAACTGTGTAGACAGGTCTGTTGATTATAATGCAAGCGGAGCAGTTTTGTGTTACACGCGTAACCAAACTTAGGATAATCAAAAAAGGCTAGCTGCATATTTACAAACTCGCTTTATTTGTGAAATATAAATCATTGTGCCATATATCTAACACCCAAAATGCTCATCATTCACTCCCTTTTTGTTGCTTCAAACCTGTACTAGTAATCCACCAATTGTTTATTATTATTTTTTTTTATTTGACGAAAAGTGGGCTAAAAATTTTACAGTTAGCCAATGATTTTGTGATTAAATTTGTGGAACTAAACTCTGTGTGCAATTCAAAGTGTCATGTTCTCAGATAATAAGTTAAACCAGGGAACACAAAAGAAGATTATTTTGGAAAACGAAAAAACTAAAATATTTTTTTAAATATATTTTTGTGTTCCACATGAAAGAAAATGAAACGGGTTTGGAACCTTAAATAATGATAACAATTAAACTAATCCCCTTTTAAAAGGGTTAAATCAGAATGTTAAAACACGGGTAGCGCATTTATAAACTATTAACGCTGACAATAGTCACGTAATTCAGATCCCAGACCTAGATGAAGTGCTCTATATCAAATAGCTGAGCTTCGGTAATGAAATTGTCTCTAAAGCATTAATGGAAACGTACTGAACGTGGGTAGGTACTTCCAAGTAAACATGGTAATGTAAATAGATTGGGTACTTAAGTAAAAGTCATTGGAAGAGCGTCAAAAACAGCATGTCATACACAAAGAACTGTGTTCACAGCATGGCGGCGAGCACACAGGTCTGTTTTAAAACAACACGGGCTGTAATGAGTAGCTGTACCTGGGCATGAAAAATGAGCATCTGCTTTTGCAGATAAGGCATCGCTGAGAAAAACTGAAATGTAGCTTTATTTGGTATGTCTGGTGGTGCGGGGGGAAAAATGTAGGATATGATGCACGCTTGATTTTCATTACAGGGCATGCCGAGGGGAGGTTGAAGCAATGTAGAAAGATGGAATGGAACAACACTGCCCCCTACTGAAATATTCAGCCATGCTCTCTCTGGATTTCATAGTTTTTCCACTAAAACAAGTTTAATTCAAAAATGTACAGTTGAAAACACTAATTACAGCATGTATATAACATGACTGACCTGTTCAAGCAGCAGATGAGAAGAGTTTCATGATGTAGAGGACACAGACATGGCCTTCTCTCTGAAAATGGTGCTCAATTCTCTCAGGACAGGAAGTGATCCTGCTGCTTTTGCTCTGAAGTCCATCACCAGCATGAGCACAGATGGCGACACTGAACTTCATACACATATTAACCATTTAGTGCTTACATTGAGTTGTCCTGCTGATCCCCTGTATCTGTGCTTGGCCAGACCACAGAAATATGGTACTGCTTCAGATCTTCTTCAGAAACAAAGTCTGGAGCATGACTCATGAGGTCATGACCCCTGAAGGATTTTGGAAAAGCTATGACATCTCTGATACTGGGAGCTCCTACAATGATCGAGATCAGTCGATCCAGCCCTGTTCAGCAGAAAAATAGCAATTCTATAATTATTAGGAATCCACAACTTATTGGTTACATTATTGATTAAGCATAGTGATTTTTTTTATCTGTAATTTCTTCATATAATTAATATGTCCAAATATACACTAACGGTCAAAAGTTTGGGGTTGGTAAGAATTTTTAATGAATTTAAATTATTAATTTAAATGATATAAATTTAAATTAAATTATTAATATTAATGTCAATATTTTTATTTAAGTCTCTTCATTTATTTGCATTTATTTGATCAAATTAAAAACATTAATTAACAAATAAAACCCATTACTTGTCTTCAGCGTCACATGATCCTTCAGAAATTATTCCAATAAGCTGCTTAAGAACAATTTCTTATTATCAATGTTAAAATCACTTGTGCTATTTTTATATTTTTATGGAAACCATAGTTTTGTTGGGGGGTAACATTATAAATAACTTTATTTTTTTACTTTTGTTCAATTTAATGCATCAATAAATCTATTTTTATACAAATCTTAATTTCTTTAAAAAATAATCATATGGACCAGAAAACTTTGAATGGTAGTGGATTTATATTACACTATTAATAATATATATATTTAAAGAATGTATTCATGCATGCTCATTTCCCCTATTTAAATGACATTTTCTGACAACAAATGTTCACTTTAACTTAATCTTTAAAACACAATTTAATAACACTGTAATTGTAATCTATAGCAAATCTTAAAATGAATATCCATTTGCCAGACTGTATATTATACTATTGTGATTCCTGAATTCACTTGTAGCATTTAAAACAACTAATTTTTATTTTTATTTTTTTGGAACAAAATAGTCTATAATTATAATATCTGCTATTGAACCATTATTGGCCATCACATAAAAATAATTCAAATTTTAAAATCAGTGTATCCATAATAATTATATATATTTCTTTCAGATGTTAAAGACATTTTGTACTTTTTAATCTTTATAATGTAAACAAGAACATGCTTCATCATTAGGTTATGCAAGCTGTAAAAACAGCTCTAGTTCTGCCATACACAGAAATAAACCCAAACAGAAGTTCTCGAATGATCAAGGGCACTTCATGCTTCAGTTTACAGTCTCAAACTAAAACAAAGCTGCCAAAATATCTTGGCTGGGCAAGCAATTTCAGTTTCTGAGCATGACCGTTCCACTTTAACCAACAGGAGAATGTAATCAACAAGGCCTTTCGTCACAGTGGTACCCAACAACCTTGCGAAAGTCCAAGATAGCATGTATTGAATGCTCACTCACCTAACGCGATTCCACCATGAGGAGGGGCCCCGGAGTCCAGAGCCTCCAATAGATGAGCAAGAAGTGATGGATCTTCCTATAACACAGACAGCATGGAGAAGAAAAAAAAACACAGTGGACCTTGTAATTCACAGCCTTTTCAGCTTGAAAGGGAATTGTTCATAGTCTCAGCATGTATAAATCGTACAGTTCCATACAACTACTTTAGTGCAAAGAGAGTAAATAGACCTTCAAAAGGATTTCCTTTGTAGACACAAATCTTATGATAGCACACTCAACTTGAGTAAAAACACCCTAATGTGATGTTTCTTTTCCCTGGCTCATAAGATCCAAACCATTTATGCTCTTTAGAGACGGTTAAATATAGATAAACGGGTTGCCACAGCGACCGAACGGGTTGTCGGTGGTGCGGGGGTGTTAAGTGAGAGTCACAAATAAGAAAATAGTGCAGTCAATATGAACATATATTACAGGTGCTTTACCTCGCTGTCAGAGTAGCATTAAATGATGCACTTTGCTTGCTATGTAATTTTTCACTCTTGTTCCATTACCTTGAGAATCGTGTCCAGGATATAGAGCTGCTGAGAGGCATTGTGGATTCGAATTGAACCTCCTCCAATCTCACAGCCATTCAGCACCAAGTCATAATGCTGGCCACGCACCTGACAAAGCAGATAAATAGGAAGGGGAAGCTTTTGAACGAGATCATACAATTCCTCTACTATGATAGACTTGGCTCATTGACTGTAGACTTACAAAGAGATAAAAGCACAGACTAGTGCTGTCACAAACTACCTCACTGTACGATGCACATCAAAATACATAATAGGGTCTAAATGCTTGTGACCACCAGTAAAAATGCTTCTATTATGTATTTTTCTTTTCATTTAATACACATTTTTTCATTACAAATTCTACCAATTGTTATGTAATATTATGCTACATGTATTTTTGTTTAAAGAAAATGTAAAAAAAATAAAATAAAGTATTTTAAAAAGATACAATTTTTAATGTATTTTGGAACCTACTGTACGTCATGATTCAATACATTGTGGTGAACAATGATGATATCATGCTGATCACATCTGAAACTTCACTTTTGTCCTTAAATTCATTTGATTGGTTGGTTACAAAACCCATCAATCCTTTTGTGTGACTACTGGATAAATGTGACTACTGGATAAGGATTTGTAAAAATTGTTTTGATTCAGACCAACTCTATTAATTTAGACTAATTCGTTGGAATAAAATGACTCTAAAGAATGATTTAATCGTATATCAGACAATCATCACTACAAGCAAATTTTAGAAAACAGCAAAACCCTAGAAAAAAATGCACACTTGGATTCAAAAGTGTTCTTTAAAAGGAAACCCTACTTTTATTCAGCAAGATCATATTAAATTGATTAAAAGTGAAAGTGAAACCATTAATAAAGTTAATTAAAATAAATGCTGTTCTTTTTAAAATGTCTATTCATCAATGAATCCTGAACATAATGCATGATTGTTTCCACAAAAATATATAGCAGCTGTTTTCAAGAGTGATATTAATACGAAATGTTTCTTTAGCACCTAATCATATCACAATGATTTCTGAAGGATCATATGACACTGAAAACAGGAGTGATCCATGGCTGCTGAAAATTCAGCTTTGATATTAAACTTATTTTTCTGATAGCAGTCTATATTATTTACTATTTTAATCTCCATGAGTATGAAGATGTCCTGTCTTGCCCTGTCCTGTTTCCACCAAAATGCAGTGCTATGATTCTGTAAGTTTTAAAAAAAAGACAATCTGTGATGATCCACGATCTGTGATGTGACACTACATACGTTGTGGGGCTGGGTGTAGAGCAGATGGACGTCTTCGGGGACTGGAGCCGTGAAGGGATGGTGGGCAGACTCAAGCATCTCTGGATCATCGTCTTTGGGTAAGAAGAGGGGAAAGTCCACCACCCACAAGAAGTGAAAGACAGAGGGGTCACGAACAGGCACACCGTAGTGCTCAAGCAGATCAGCGCACTGCAGTCTCACCTTCCCCAGCAGACGGCGCTAATACATGAAAAAAATACATTTTAATTTACTTAAAAAGAGCCTAGGTTCAATTTTGGCAAAACGTTACTCTTTAATATATAGCTAAACACAACAGTCAACAGTGACTAGATATTAACAGTAACAAGAAATTATCAGAAAGAGGTAATGGATTCAGGACATGTTGACGGCTGGATTTGAACCTGCATCACCAACATGAATTAGCTTTTTTTTTGTACATTTTCAATTTTCGTTTTCATTTTAGATGAATTTTTAGTCATTTTACATGCTTTTGAATTTTAATTTTATTTATGTATTTATTTTTATGAATTTATTTGGAGGGGAGGGGGTATATTTCTATTTTAGTTTTAGTAATTAATAATTTGGTTAAGACACGCCTCATAATCAAAGCCCTATGGAGAAGTATCAGAATCACATTCTGAATAGAATACGAGTATGACGAAGTCAGGCTAGCAACCGCCATGAATGATTGTGTGAACAAAAACAGTTGAAACATTCTTCGTAGTATCTTGTTCAGTGTTTTACAGAAGAAAGCAAGTCATACAGGTTTGTAAAAATATGATGTTGAGGAAATGATAAAATTATTTTCTTTTTGGTTTGATCTATCCCTTTGAGATACATCAAAGATTATGAATGTTTATGATTGTTAATGTATGTATGAAGTACTACAGAAAAGCACCCGGTTACTTCTAACCATGAATTTGTCATTTTATTTTATTTTTTAATCTGACAAGCAGTTTTTTTATCATTCATGGAACAGCTGGCTTTTACAATTCATGCATTTAGAGGCAGGTACATGAAGGTTAATGAATGCCAAGATCTCTAAAACTATATTTGAGCATCACCATTCTTCCCACAACCACAGCACACAAAGCTCGCCAGTTATCCCTAGCCTCACTATCTCCCACTTCTCTGCTTTGTGACTAAACAGCCGTCTCACTTTGTGCCAAGCTCACCATCTGCACCAGACCCGAGCGAAAGCTGAGGCATGGCAAAGATGACTATTCTTTTAAAAGTGATTAGATCATGTCAGCATTCTCTCTTTAGCCATATTTTCTAAAAAAAAAATTTAATTCATTAAAAAAAAACCTAGTCATCTATCACTTCAGGGCTCAAATACAGATGGGAAGGTACTTGAAGATCATAAATAGGGATGCTGATCATTGAATTATATACTCCAACACAAAATGTCTTGATGTACTTGTGATCCAACGGTAGTTTTATTTAAATATTTGCTCGCTGAGCTCTCATGATGCATCAATAAAACTGAATCAGCATAGTTATATCAATCTGTGAAGACACAAGACAGGGAACAAAATGGAGGCGGATACGCACCACGTTCTCCCGGGGTCCGGCCGTGATGAAGATCAGGTCTCCAGCATTGGCCTGGGCCATCTGGAGCAGCTGCTGTTTGGCCGTGTCCGAGAGCAGCCGGCTGAGAGGGGATTTCAGTGAACCATCTGCCCTTACTGGAGCCACGCTCACCTCCTGTACGACACACGGTGCAAGCACAGCAATGATCATCCATTTCCTCCACCGGCCCATATTCAATTGCCATTGACAGCATAGGGCACAAACTCTTGAGCAATCATCAGTCTCGAGAACTCTGCGGGCTGGTTTCCCAGAAACAAACCAAGCCAAGACCTGAACTAAAATGGATAGCAATGGACAATCATCTTTGACGATGCCATTTAGTTCAAGCCACTAGCTTAAAGTTCACTTTCTATTTATACATACAGACAGAAGAAAAAAGTATTTTCAGAGGGAAAACTAAGCAGAACAGCTATCATAAGTATTAAATTACATTTAATTTTGGTAAGTTGCCTATATTTTATTGGATAGTAGAGACTTGACAGGAAGCAAAGTGAGAGAGAGAAGTACGGCATCATAAAATAAAATGAGCCAGAAATTTTGAGTCACCCGAAGTGGTGTCCACATTAAAGGGTTACTTCACCCAAAAATGAAAATGATCTCATTAATGACTCACCCTCATGTTGTTCCAAGCCCGTAAGACCTCCATTCATCTTCGGAACACAGTTTAAGATATTTTAGATTTAGTCCGAGAGCTTTCTGTCCCTTCATTGAAAATGTGTTCCAAAGAAGATCTTATGGGGTTGGAACGACATAAGGGTGAGTCATTAATAACATAATTTTCTTTTTTGGGTGAACTAACCTTTTAAACATTCAAAAGTTTTGTCCCTAATCATTACTCTTGACTTGACTAAGAGCCTATTATTAACACAACGTTCTCCTTTTGACAGGAATTAGATTTAAGTTTATTCAGTAAAAAAATATGATCAAGATGTATTTTTTAGGAAGGATATTTAAGGGTTAGTTCACCCAAAAATGAAAATTCTGTCATTTACTCACCCTCATGTCGTTCCAAACCCATAAGAATCTTTAGAAAACAAATGAGGTTATACATTTCAATGAAATTTGAGAGATTTCTGTCCCTCCGTTGACAGCTATGAACTTTGATCATAAAGAAATCATAAAATGAAACATTTTAATTGAGTGGTTCAGTCCAAATTTTCTTGAGACACGATTGCTTTCTCTGCTGAACAGATTGAATTTAGGATTTTATTCACATATAAAAATTGATAAATGCACAGACCGAGTCAGACAGTGTCAGATTGAGTCTCAAGCAAATGGCTGCCCACTTCTCCGGGTGTGTGTCCACGGTTTGCAGTGTGGTGTGTGTTCACTACTCACTGGGTTAAATGCAGAGGACAAATTCCAAGTCAAAAGTCAAATTCCAATTACATGTAATATAATTAGAAGCTAAAGCACGCTTGCTTGAAGTGCGAGAACCAATGAGGTTCATTCGCGAGTATTAAGCAGCATGTTTGAGCTTCTGTTTATGCTTGATGATGAGTGTTTATATGTGAATAAAAACCTAAATTCAATCTGTTGATCATATAAAGCAATAGTGTCTCTTCGGAAACTTTGGACTAAACCGCTCGATTCATATGGATTAGATTTACGATTGCTTTAGGAACTTTTATAAAGTCAAAGTGGTAGTTGCGTAGCTGTCAACAGAGGGACAAAGCTCTCAGATTTTGTTTAAAATATCTTCAATATGAACAAAAGGCTTATGGTTTTTGGAACGACATGAGAGTGAGTAAAAGTTTATTAGTTTCTTTTTTTTTTCAATTTTGGGTGAACTAACCCTTTAAATTGAATGTGCTATTTTACTATACACTTCAAGTTTGGGGTCATGTTAAATAATAGTTAACAAACAAAAAATATGGCAACATTTTATCAACAAATTTTTTTATAAGATACTACTGGCAAAGCTACACTGATTTAAGTCTCACAAGCCTTAATTATATCACAGTAAGTTGCAGTTTGCAGCTTGTAAGTTGATTTACTAAAAAGTACCAGCTCATCAGAGTCATTCATCCAGGTAATCAGTCAACTACACTGGTTGTTCTGTATGGTTTTGATTCACTAAAAAGTTGCAAATGTTTTTTTTTTTTTTTTTTTTATCTACTACAAAAAAATGCCATCATGAGGTTGACTCATGAGGGTCAATCATCTGGGTTTTATTTGAAATAAAACTGATCATGTTTTATGGTTTTGAATTCATCAAAAAGAAACAAATCATAATAGTCAGTTATTTGGGAATAGGTTGGGCTACACTGGTTGTGTGATACGTTTCGTATCCACTTGAAATGGCTCATAGGAGATGACCAATAGAGATTCTTGCCTTAACATCATCACTAACGAGCAGACTGAGACAAAATGCAAATTAGTATTATTTTTATCTCAGTACAAAGCATAACATGAATTAACATAAATCATTACAAGCTAAGAATTGTGAATGTATGGGGTGGAGGAAATTAATTACATCTAACTTTCCTTTTATAAGACTTCGTGTACGGCCTACAACACACGTTAAAGACATGACCCTCTAGAGAGGTCAATCCTTGCCTCGGGGAAAGTATGCAGTGTGTTACATTTGACTGTTTTACCACCAAATCATCCTGACTTATTGATTACTTTCAGATAAATATTTCAGGAGACGTCCCATGATGTGCACACACTGAATGCTGGTAGCGTTCCATCAGCAGACACAAAACTCACCTGACCATACTGTGCCTTGGCTGCTTGTTTGAGGAACTCCAAGTCTTTGCCCTTCAGGTGTTTCTGTGGAAGAAATGTCACACACAGTTAGCTTCACCTGTTCCAGAGACAGTGTAAAGGGGGAAGAGTTCGACCTCTCATAGAAATGAATGGCAGAATTTGTGATCCTCAACACATTCGGTAAAAACTTTATAAAGAATGTCCACTTTTAAAGTGATTAAATACAATAATGTGATTTATATGAATGATTATGTTCATTGATTTCCATTATAATACAAGTTAAAATGAACACATTTCTGGTTTGGTGCCTTCCCTGTGACAAGGAATTTACAAAAATTATATAATGAGTGAGTACATCATGAATCCAAACCGTGTTTTTGTCTTAACCTGAATCACTATAGTATGCCTATGATAATAATAATTGTTTGTTTGTAAACCAGGCAGTTTTGAATCACTGAAAAAAAAAAAAAAAAACAACTCAAAAGATTACTTTGTTTGGAAATCAGACAACACTGTGCTGTGGATTCAATAGTGTTCAACAGAATCTCTGTATTCTACACTTACCATTCCTTCTGGGACACAGATAGCCTGAATGCAGCCATAAGGCTCAAGAAGTGCATTTCTAATGAATTCGATTTGCGTTCCCTGGAATGCTGTGGTGACATCCACAAGCTGAATACAAGAAAACACATCAGAATTAACTAAGTTTTGCCACACAGGCCACAACTATTACATCAGCCTTAAGAAAGCAATACACAAAGAGAATGTATAAACAAGATGCTTGTTAACATTTAAATGTATTTATAAATGTAGTACTTTAGTAATATAATTTCATCATCTCATGAAATAAAGATAGATGTATTTTAAAAAATCTAAATATAACAAACAAATAGAAAAGTAAAATATATAAAATAAAAGTATATACACTACCATTCAAAAGATTGGGGTGAAAGAAGTCTCTAAAAAAATAAATAAATAAACAAAAACAGAAATAATGTACAATATTATTACCATTAATATAGCCATTTTCTATTTGAATGTATTTTAAAATGTAATTTAATTATAAGATGGCAAAGCTGAATTTTCAGCAGCCAATACTCAAGTTTTCAGTGACACAATTATCAATGTTGAGTTGTTTAAAATCTACATGAAAACTGTAATACTTTGTTTCTCAGGAAAAATGTTAAGTATTAATTTCTTTAAAAAAGAATGACTAAGACCAAACTTTTAAACAGTAGTGTATTTGCTATCCATTTCTTATTTTTCTAAATGCTAAAACACCACAGATTGAGCAAAGGGCTCTAAATCTACGAGCAGAAGTGAATGCATTCAGGACGCACAACAGTAAAAGAGAACGTATCATGAGAGATTCATTTTTAATTGTTGAGCACCGCATGAAAATCTGTGATGTGTGGGGAAACAGGATGCCAGCACAGCGTGATGCCAAGGGCGGCCAGCATGCAAACAACCTCATTGATGTCTTACGTCCAATCTAGGATAGTGTGTACAAAGAAAGAAAGTGCGGTCACCTTCATCCCAAATCTAGTGTCTGGTTTGTCAACTCCGTAGTCTCTCATGGCTTCCTCATAAGTCATGGATGGAAAGGGGACATTAATCTGTCCTTTGTCCTCTGGCCAGGAGTACTGAACCAAGCCTTCAATCAAACTCATGACTCCAGCCTGGTCTACAAAGGATAACTCAATATCCACCTAAAAGAGAGAAATAAGCCAAAATGCTTTGTTCACACTGCAAATTAATCTGATTTGTTTTTCAAATCTAATCCTTTTACTCAGACAGTGTATAAATCTGATTTTACTGTTTGTTTGTTTTTTGGGGGTTTTTTTTGCAATTCAGATCAACAATTAATCGGATTTGACTTTAATGCACAAAAAAAGAAATCAGATTTTTTGCTGCCTGTCTGAACAAAACCAAAATGATCTTTTGGAGTTCTTGATTTTTAGACTGAGTGAGAATCCTGTAAAGCCTATTAGCAGCTCTAACCCTCGTGAATGAGAGTTAGAGCAAGTCACATCATTGAAACACTCATATTCATCTACATCTGCTGCATGTTTTCACCCAACCTTTAGCACATCATTACCTGTGTGAATTCAGGCTGTCTGTCAGGCTTGGAGCCCTCGTCTCTGTAGCAGCGAGCGAGCTGAAAGTACCTGAGATTGCAGGAGATAACCAGCATATAAGTGACTGTGGGCCAAATATTGACTGACATTTTTAAATCATGCATAGCATATCATATCATTTTCATTTGACAGACTTTTCAAAGAACTAGCCTGCAGTCCTGGCTTAGCGCAACTACTAATTCAAAGAGACGTGCTGCCAAAATTTTAATGAAAATAGGTCTATTGTGGCCATTATCATTCAAAATCTAATAGAAACTAGACTTTTGCATTTTTTGAATTGACAATGACAGAACTGCTTGCCTGTATAAAAATGTTAACACAATGCTAGTGGGTGGTTGCCACCCTCTCTCACTGTTTTGTTCTCCTGATTTCCCTCCAACTTTATTTCAAGTATTTAAAAGGTGCACTCAGAAAAAATATTGTATATTTATAATAAATCCATAAATAATTTACATTACCATTTAAATGTTTGTGGTTGGTAATATTTAAGTCTCTCCACAGCTAATTTATTTGACCGAAAATACAATAAAATAAGTGATATTATGATATTTTATTACAAATTAAAATAACAAATTTACAAATTAATTTGACAAAATTACAAATTAATTTTATTTTAGCATATTGATAAATTTAATTTATTGAACCATGAAACATTTGAATGATACAACTTAAGAAAGAAAAAGAACTTTGCTGTGGGTATATTGGGGCCTTCAGACTGATACATGTGCAAAAATTAGAATAAATAGAACCATTTTCATTATAATCAATTTTTTTTATTAAAAAATAAACAAGCAACCCAGCCCAGATGAGAAAACGTTTCTTATAAAAGTAATTTAATAGAATAGAATAGTAGAATAGTAGTGTATAAATTAAAAAAGTACAAATAAAAGGAGAAATCACAAAAGATTAACCTAAAAATTTACATTCATATTACATTTGCCATCACCTCACCATCTTAATTTATTTAAATTTTATATAAAAAAATATATAAATTATAAAAAACAATAATAATTTCATTTATCTCTCTCTCTCTCTAGTAAATATATTGTGGCAATATATTGATAAACAAATTGATTTTAATTTTCAGTGTTTTATCTTTTCATTTCCTTAGAAAAAAGGTTTTCTTATATCAGACAGAATTGTAATAATAACTGTGTATTTTTTAGATGAGCAAACACTCTTATGCTCATTACAACAGTTTTACATATTTGTACACTTGTTGGGCTCCAACATTTTATTTAGAATTTCACTGGCTGGACTGCGAAGCATCATTTGAGTATGAATATGTCCTTGTCAACTACTCACATGGACCCTAGACCCCTTTAATATACAACCACTGACAACAAAACATGTCAGCAGCAGCAACCCTCTCAGTGACTGATGTGCAAATACCACCTCACAAGTCTTGCCTTTGAATTTCAAATTAGACAAATCTTGAAAAAAAAAAAAAACAGCAAGAATCTAAAGCAGCATTCTAAACCATATCACACTGTACATGGCGCATACATGTCACTGTTTTGGCATTCCATACAGCATTGGAACAAATGCTGTCCTGCAAATTCCAGATCTGCTAATAGAATAATACGAATAATTACCATCTGATTCCAAGAGTATATTGGCCAAAAGTTGTTTTAAAAGGGCTGCCGTTCAGTGAAAGCAGAGTTTAGTGAATGTGCCAAGCATCTGACAACAATATAAAGGTATTAGAAAAAGGCAAGAAAATATGATATTAAATCTGATTTTTACCGGTCTATGCCAGCCACCATAAGAAGTTGTTTGAACTGCTGTGGACTTTGTGGAAGAGAGTAGAACTTCCCAGGGTCTCCAGATGGCACCACAAATTCTTTGGCACCCTGAAAAACAGTTACACTTGAATAAACAGTGTGTATTCCTGCCTCTGACAGAACTAAATCAGCCAGAATATCCCTAGCCAATCTGATAAATGAATGTCACATTATGAAAAATAAAAGAAAGAAGCAAAAATAATGAGGTAAGAAAAAGCATGGAAAAATATTTTAAAAAGTGTTTTAAGGTGCTCTTTGGTCATTTCTGACCGGAAAATTTTCTGCTTTGAATTTCTAAAAAAACGCAGCTTCATCGGAATGGTCCAAAATTTGGTGACTTTTATGGCATTTGGAATGTGAAAAATTGTCACACTTGTGTTTTTCGGTTAAAAATGGCGATCATTGGACATGAGCAGGAAATTGACAAAAACACAAAAATTCAAAGAATTCAAAGAACTTATGTGTGTACAATCTACAAATTGGCCACAATTTGAACAAATGCTCAGCAATGAAGGGGTGAACCTCTTCAATATTAAGAGTGCAAAACAGACACACCCACTCACACACAAACCAATTATTTGTGATCGAAAATGTTCTGTTTTCAAATTTTAAAAATCACAGCTTCATTGGAATGGAACGAAACTTGGTGACTTATGGCATTTGGAATGTGAACACAAAAAATTTAGGGCAGGCTAAATGGATGAGGAAAAAGTCACATATAAAAATTTCTCTACAAATCGGAATCAGAAAAAAGGGCTCAGCAATGAAGGTGTGAACCTCTAAAACATCAACACACACACACACACACACACATAATTATAAACACAAATGAACTTGTAGGGCTGTTATCATGCTGCATAATTGAGACAAAAGACTGAAATAAAAGGTTGACATGGTTGAAAGAACCAGATGGATTAAGCTGTGATAAAGCATTCCTGTTTATTTTTGTACATTTTTTATTGAATTTTAATGTTAAGTGTAACAAAATGCTTTCTCTGTGTTCAGGTTTGACTGTAGTAATAATAATGCAAAAACATTTACACTTCACATTAACATTATTAAAAATATATAAACCTTGACAAAAAGTATTATTCGGGAAAAAAAACAAAAACATTCAAATCCACATCTTAAACATTTTGTCCAAAAACTATTAGAATTCACAAGGCTCTCCATTTAGAGTTATACAGGCTTACATATATTATACGTAATTTCATGGTTACACCATGAAATTACATGTTTTATTTTATTTTCTATCAACAGGTGGTGCTAATCTGACTTAAAAAAAATGGATTTTAAAGGCCTAGTTTCTAAATCTATCTATCTATCTATCTATCTATCTATCTATCTATCTATCTATCTATCTATCTATCTATCTATCTATCTATCCATCTATCCATCCATCCATCCATCCACTGTAAACATGGATGCTTCTGTATATAGACACTTCTCCTATAGGTAAGATATGTCGTTATTCATCACCTAAAACTGTATTCATATTTAATATTTAAGCCATTTAGCAGGCATTCTAATATTCTAGATGATATCCCCCCCTCCCCCTAAAGACACCTTGCAGCAAATACCAGTCCCTGTTGTTTCATTTCACAAATTAGACTTTTCCTTAACTGAAAGCTTTCTTGTGATGCACTGAAATGAATGTGACAACAGTACAGAAAAAAACACTGTAGTTATGCATATCTCAAAGTTGGAATATGCTATCGTTTTTAAGTGTCGATCATGGTCACACATTATGCGTGAAAGTAAAAAAAGAACCAAAAAAAGCTTTTAGTACCGATGCCATTGTATAAATTCACTCACTGCTCTCACTCAGCCATGATTCATTTGTTCTACAACCTAAAGTTTCCAGTCACACCAGATAAAGTGGGTAGTATTCAAACGATCATACATATGCATCATTTTGAAACAGATGTATAAGCTCTTAGCAGAACAAAGCCCGAGGGAGAAAGCCAGAGTGATGCGATTGCTCACAAAATTTCGGGTAATAATCTGGCAATATTTTGCACCAGCTGTAGTTTGTTGTTTGGGCAAGCCTTACAGGGGTGTCTTGCAGGAAACAAGAAACAGAAGCATGAGTCACCACAGAAGCATTGTAAAAATAAGTTCTCATGAATGAAACGTTTCTGCAGTTACGAATGTTTTTATGCTTAGTACGTCGAGCTACATTTTGCATAGTACTCTCTATTTTTTTGGATTTAGCTCAGTAAGTAATATATTTGTTTTATGAGCAATTTACAATGTTGGAAGTTAAGAAATAAATAAGCACACTTAGATTCTTAGTGCTCATGGCCAAGTTTCATCACTTGGAGTTCATCTGTATTACAAGCACAGCTGTTGTAACTTGAATATATAATTTTCTGAACATTTCCACACTGAAACAATATGCAGAGTAGTGCAGCATAGATTCCTATGAAATACAAAATACTGTGTATCTGATTTAGCAAATGGTCTTAAGTTTTGGCAAAGTCTCTTTCAATGAAAGTCTGTTCACTTGGCAGCTATATTTGCAATGCCTCTGGGAAGCTATTTCAGGCATCCTATCTATTTGAATGGGGGAATCCTGAAATCTAAAAAACTGCCACATTTAAATAACATATTTCAAATCAGAAACAACATCTTGCGTGGATTGTAAAATAAATGTTGCTCAAATGGCATTTAAAAAAAGCGTATTACTATTTTTCATGCTAGGCAATGCGCGTGTGCAGTTCTTAGCAGTCTCAGAACACTGTCTGTTTCTCTACCGAAAATTCTAACAGCAGCTGAAGTACTGATTGACTCTTAGCAGATGGGTCTTATCCCACCATATTGCACTCTGTCCCATTCGTAAGTGAAATAAATGTACCGTATTTGTATATCTAATTCTTTTGTTTTGGTTATACGAATGAAAAATTCAATCCGTAAAAAAATACCTACCCCAGGTGTTCTTTTAAACAACGTTGGTGTTTCCACATCCACAAATCCTTGGGAAAAGACAGGGAATGCTCAGTGAGTATATGGGTACATTAACTAAGCAAATGTACTGTATGCACAAGTTTGAAAATTCCACTGTTAATCCTCACCATGCAAATTGCAAAGGTACTCCCTCATTTTCATCACCATTTGTGATCTCAGTCTTAAATTGTACTGCATCCTGGCTGACCGAAGATCAAGATAACGATACTTCATCCTGAGGGATTCAGATTTCTTCAAGGCAAACAAAAAAAAGAATTAAAATGAAATGTATCAAGGGATTTCACAAACAGTCAATAAACTTCATATAATAAAAATAACATCCATCTAGAGTTAAATGGCTATTCCACAGCAAATGACAGAGAGTGACTATTAAACACAGTCAAGAAACACTCCAGGGCCATATATAATTTGATTTTTTCAATTCAACAAAAAATAATTTCTGGTCCTCAGACAACTTTTCATGATAAATGACAAAATAATAACTGAAAAGGGTGTAGACTGAAGCATTGGCTAGTTAGATTTTATTGCATTATAGGTCTTGCCTTGCTTTTAATTAACACTAATTTTATTAATAACAGCAATACAAATTAAAACACTGTCTCCAGAAAAGACACAATTACTGTATTGCAATATACATTTGTTTAATGGTTATAAGAATGATAACAAAAAATCCTAAAAATTATATTTTTTCTGCAAAACATACACTACCATTTGGGGTCAGTAAGAAATTAATACTTTTATTCAGCAAGGATGCATTCATGAATAAAAAATTATTTGATATCGTTATTAAAAAAAACTGAAGAAAAAAATCTTCCATGGTTTCTACAAAAATTATAAACCAGCCAAACTGTTTTTAACAGTAACAATAGAAAGAAATGTTTCTTATTAGAATGAATTCTGAAGGATCATGTGACACTGAAGACTGGAAGAATGGCTGCTGAACATTCAGCTCAGGAATAACTTAAATTTTAAAATATATTAAAATAGAAAACACAAATAATAATCCACAGTATTACTGTTTTACTGTGTATTTGATCAAATAAATAAAGAATAGGTAAGCATAAGAGAATTCTTTCAAAAAATGTAGGATCCAACATTTTTTAATGGTGATGCACATATGTTTTCCTTCTGATTGATTGTTCTTTGTGAGATTTGCCTTAGAAATATTGCAGGCAAAAATAGAATTACAAATAGAATTCAAAAAGTAATGCATGCAACACTTTGTTTAATCATATTTACTTACTTTGACAAATTCTTTAATCTCAAACGGCAGCTTTCGGCAGGTATTCAGCACTTCCAAGCTCTCAGCACAGACCTCAATGTTCCCAGTGGACATTGTCTAATATTAAATAAAAAGCACAATTTTACACACATTTCACACTGAACAGTACAGTGTCAGATCTTTCTCTTTATGTGGAATTAAACAGGCATAACAACCTTATTCTCCTGTCCCTCTGGTCTACGTCTGACCCGTCCTTTGACCATGATGACCGACTCCACCGTGAGGCCGAGAAAAGCATTCTTCAGTTCAGATTTAGACTAAAAAAATGAATCACCAATAAATAAACCAACATTTGGGCAGCATCAGAATTAGTTTATAAAGCACAAAATAAGAAAGAGAATTGGTTTGCTACCTCATCCTGTGGGATAAGAATTTGCACCAGTCCACTGAAGTCTCTCAAGATCACAAAAAGATCTTGCCTAATGAGTCAAGAACAGAGAATGTGTTATAGTAATGTAGTCCAGTGATAATTGAAAAGACTAAGCATTGTGTCTCAACCTATGGAAGATTGTTTCTGCCGCAGAACAACAAAAAATGGTAAATTGTTATTAAATGGTAATTGTGACTTTCTATGTCACAATTGTGACATTTTTCCTCCAAATTCTGAGTTTACATCTATCAATTTTGACTTTTTTTAAATCTGAATTCACCTCTCACTATTTTGCTGCTTTGTTTAAGCCATGGAATAAATCTCACAATTCTCACTTTTTCGTCACAAGTCTGTTGCTTTTTCCAAAGATTGTGGACAAAAAAATGTCTGAATTGAGCTATAAAATTGAGAAATCGTGAGAAAAAAAGTCCGATTTTTAGATAAAAAAGTGCAACTACCTTTTTTTTTTTTGTATTCTGTGATGGAAACAAGCATACATACAAACCTCAAGTACTGAATCCAGCCACATAAAGTAACTTCTTCATTTATATGACTGGAGCACAGTTCTCCACATGTGTGGCTTCTCTGTGAAAAACTGCTTTGACCTACAAGGAGAAGAAAATAGCTTTTAAAAATAGCCAATAACAAATACAAAGTCTTGTTCAAGGTCACATTACCTGAATTGTAAGTAGAGCAGGTTCTGGAGAATTCATAAGCCCGTGCCAAAGAGTTTGGAGGAAGAGATGGTTTTGTGGAGTAAATTTGATTCATGGAAGGTATTGATCTTGTGCTGTGCACACACCTCAACACCTGCTGGGATGATCTAAGAAAAAAGAGTCTGTATTTGTTTGCCATTGTCCGGTATGAGAGGTCTTGGTGTCCCTGGCTACATTTAACCTTTATTCTCTTTGAAAATATACATTTCAGAGCTGTTATTCCACTTGACTGTGTACATGTTTTGTACATGTCTTCTTTGTGTATGCGGTTGTACTGTAGTTCTATAAATCCAGTTACATTATTGCAGGTTATGAAACACTGACGGTCATCTTTGTTTTTCTTTCCTTACGTTAATATTGTACATAACTTACGTCAATCTATAATTACATATGACAATAAGTTCATCGAAATAAATATTAGTCCGGTCGGATTTTCAATGACATTCTGAATCATGAAAGTTGCGAAGTGGATCCGTACGCTACATGAAGCCAGGCGCATGGATCAGGCATGAATGGATACTTTGACAAGACTAATCAAACTAGATGTAATCGATTGTAACATGACAACTAGTAACTTATATTACATTTTTTGGCCATTCTTTTACATTGGTCACCGCCAATTATTGATATAGGTAAATATGGTTTAAAGTAAACTAAATGTAGAAATATATGATACACATTTGTCCTTGCTAGCAGCAATCGATTAGTGTTCCTGCGCCGCCCCGTTGCATGATGGGAAAGCGGGATGTTCAAATCCTCTTCCTGATTTTGTTTTGGCTCGGTGTGTTTTGTTCATCATGGAGGGGAGAGGCAGGTACGGTGGATTCTAACTTTTAGCTCGTCTTAGAAGGGAATTTTGACCCGCAGGTTTATTTATTTATTTATTTTTTAAATCAACACATAGCCTATGAACTTTTTCCTAAAACTAAAAACATCATTTATGTAGTTAGTGGTGAAAGCGAACTGCTAATAATCGCGATTGTCAGAAGTGTTGTCTTTTGTTTTCTGATTAAATGCTTTAAACCTAAAAAAATGACATTTTAAGTAGGCTAACGTTATATTTTAAACGTATAGTTATGACTTATAACTGTTTTAACCGAAAGCAATTTGCATTGACATATCGTAAAATATTATGTTAGCGCCGTTGTTTTGTCTCAAGATGCGCAGCACACCAGTAAATGTTTATTTTCTAATGCGCGTTTATTGAATCTAACAGTTACTTAAATAGTTGAATGAAAAATGAAAATTATGTCAATAATTACTCACGCTCAATTATGTCGTTCCAAACCCGTAAGACTTTCGTTCATCTTCAGAACACAAAGATCTTTTAATAAAATATGAGAGCTTTCCATGTTCATAGACCGCTAACTTTAAAGTAACGTTACGCATGTCTGTACGCAACTGATAAGTTGACGCTTCAGAAAAAAAGTTTCGGTCACTATATGATGAACGGATTGAATTTAGGCTTTTGTTCACATGTAAACACTGATCAGCATTATCACATTGAAACAATATCTCAACCAAACGTGCTTGACCCGTGTGAGCAGACCTCTCTGAATTGAAGTAATAAGTTCCTAACTAATCCTGGCTTAATCTAAGCCCTGTTTGTGAAACCAGCCCATTAACGTTTTATTAAATAACACTGAAGGGATTGAAATTTGTGTGTCCCTGTTGCTTCTTTTACCCATGCAGTGCCGTCGGTACACCTGCCAACAGACCTGTAACTCGTAGAAGCAAAAGTTATGGCCGGAGCTGTGTGGAAGCACCCTCATATTTCTGGCAAACACCAGGACATTTAACAGTCTTGAAGATCCCAACCAGTAGAGGGGCTGCCAAATCACAAATCATCACTGTAAGAGACCATGGAAATGACTCCACCTCAAAATGCTGTTTCTGACATAGATTTGCTTGAGTGACAAATACATTTATTCTTTCTACAGAACAAGGTTGACCCCGAGCATATTGCTCTTCTGGTGAAAAATGAGTGGAAGCTGTCCTATGTCACTCCTTTGCATTGCTTCAGACATACACAGCTGAAATCATATTCCAAGCATCTCTCAGCCTTCATCGTAGCAGAGAAGCAGCAAGGAGTTGCAGTTGAAGTCGGGTTAGAGGAGGGATTCAAGGTCACATTTACTGCAGTTCTTGGACTGGCTGAGACAGATGAGGATGCTGAGACTGTTTTTATTCAGGTAAGTCTTAACAGGCTAAGATTTTGTTATTGTTTTTAAGAAATTAAAGGGATCGTTCACCCAAAAATTCTGTCATCATTTACTCACCCTTAATTGTTCCAAACCTGTATACATTTCTTTGTTCTTCTGAACACAAAGGAAGATATTTCGACACTGCTTTGGGGCACCAATGACTTCCATAGTAGGAAAAAAACAACTATGGAAGTCAGTGGTGCCCCAGAACTGTTGAATTTCCCACATTCTTCAAAATATCTTCTTTTGCGTTCACCAGAACATAGAAATGTTAACCGGTTTGGAAAAATCTGAGGATGAGTAAAGAATCTTTGGGTAAACTATCCCTTTCATTCTTAAATTGAAGTAAAATATTTTTACTGTTATAAAATGGCATTATTTGGAAGTTCCTATTCACCAAAGAATACTGGAGGGTGGGTGCATTATGGTTTTAAAAAAAAAAATCAAAACCATTTTCAACTCTTGAACACCAAATCAGCATAATAACGACTGCTCAAAATGCATCTTTACCATCACGGCCACGGGAATGAATTACATTTTTAGGAAATGTGTATTTCGCAATATTACTGTTTGCTGTATTTATCAAATAAATGCATCCAACATTAAAACTTCTCACCAACCACAAATCTTGAACAATACTTTATACATATACCGCATTCATGCGGTTTTTCTTTTATTCCCTCAGATCCAATCCAAACCTGTGTTTGCCGCAGCAGCAGATGCACCGAAAGTTGTCTGGCGTGGTTGGCTAACGTGCGTCAATGGGAATCCAGAGTACCTGAGGTCGCTGCCTCCAGATTTTGTCAGCTTGCCTTTGTTTTGCACGAGTGGACCTGAGTCTCTTACGACCCTGGTTAAATCCTGGTTCGAGAGAGCTTTTGATTGCAACTTTGGCTCTTTGGCTTTAAACTCCACCACTCTCAATTGGCTTGCTGCTTTGTGGACTGGTTGCCATCCCACCTACAATATCAGGTATCTGAAACTGGCCTGGAGCCTTCCGACGCAGCCACCCCTGGATGTCTCGTACACGGTGAATCCACAGGATGCATGGGAGCTGTGGAACAGTATTCACGCAGAGGAGAGTACAGATGACCGGATCGATATTAAAGAGGTCCAGTCTTTCATGAACGGGCTGGAGACTCATTTTTTCAGACACTTCAAGATCTACCTGTCTGCTGGTACGCTTGTAAAAGTATCTACCGCTTTGGGATCAGCACAGCTTGATGGGAAAATCAAGGTAATTGCTATGTGTCCTCTCTGTTCATTGTATATTTAGCATTAGTTATATCTTTACAGTATGTTCTGATATTTTTAAAACTATTTTTCTCTTTTCAGATCGGAAACAGTGACTACATCACCACCTTGCTTACCCTCCTGACAGAATGTGCCCTTCTGAAAATGCTAACCTAAAATCTTTCTATTTTAGATTTGTAAATATTTTCTTGTTGCTGTTTTTGTTTTTCATGACATCTAAACTTTTATATCTTTTAAAGCTTATCGTGTCATATTTATTTTTTGTGCTGTAAAATATGTCTGTTTTCTAGCTTTTAAAACTGAGCTCGTTTTTATTCTGCTTTTGAATCCCGGTTTTCTTTCCTAAGACTGTTTATCAAGATAAATAACATGTATATCAGTCCATAAGGCTAATATTAATGTGATGCAACTCATTTATCACAAATACTTTTGATTTGTCAACTTTGTAAATGTATCACTACTATATGTATAGGTGCTTATAAATAGTTCACACAAATATGTTAATATCTGTAATTAGTATATTGTAACATATGTTGATATTAAATGCAAACATTTTGTACCCTTAAAAGTATGTAAATCACTTAGTAATGAGTTGCGGCTGGCTTGATTTTTGTTTGACAGGGTTTATGGCTTCTGAAATTATCCTATTAAGTTTTGTTTTCAGTGCCAATAATGTCAGCATCTAACAGTTGAAATGTATAATGATTTCCAAAGTATGTAGGTAGAACTTGCAAGCAGATTTTGTTGGAACTTGGAGGGATTAAGTTATTTTGGATTTTAAATTGTGAAATTGTTTCTGTTGTTGGATATTACTTTGATTCATCTGCACTCAAGACACATCCTTTCATTTAAACATTTACATCAGAAAATGACCTAGGATGTGCATAACAATGTTTTAGAATTGGGTAACCTTTTGTCTTACAATAAAGCACAGATCTAAAGTTGATTTTTTATTTCAACTATATATTAAAAACAAACCCCCAATTTGTATGAGGTTTAAATTAACTTTTTTTACTAATCTAGATTTGAAAAATCTAAACCATTAGTTCTCAACCTAAAGTTAATAAGTTAACTAATGTCTAACCTGTAAACAGATTAACATGTATTGATGTTTTAATAGTGTTTTTAATCACATTAATTTGTCACTCCTAGTTTCAGAAATAAAAATATTTTAAATATGCAGCTTTGTCATCATTACAGTAAAAGTACCAGAGAAAATATTTGAGAACCACTGATCACTTGTCAACACAATTTCAGAATTGACTAAAAGCATTTAGATATTTTTTCCTGTTTTATTTTATTTTTAAAAGTTTTGAAATGTATAGACAGTTGAACATCTTTAAAATTAAATAAGGTAAGATCATGGAAGATATACTTTATGTAACCGTTTTTCAACACCAAAATAGAACGCGATACTGTCCTGTGGGGAAAATTAGTGTTCATAAAAAAAAAATCAAAGGGCAGTTGAACATTTCAAAGAGATTCATCTCATATTCAGTAACAAGTTTAACATCACGTTTCTGACCATACGTGCAGGCTGCTAAAAATAGAAACCTGTTTGTTCTGAAATTTCAGAAACTTTTTTTTACCCTAGCCCTCAAACTTGCATAAAACGATACATCAGGGTTCTTCAAATCCAGTCCTGGAGAGCAACTGCTCTGCAGAGTTGAGTTCCAATTCTAATCAAACACACCTGAACAAGCTCTTCAGAGTTACTAGAAAATTGCCGGTAGGCGAGTTCGATCATGGTTTGATCTAAACTGTGCATGACTGGCCCTCTAGGGTTTGATTTGATGAACCCTGCAATACATCCAACTATATTTTAAAGGAAAAAAATATATATACAGACTTCAATAGAAAAAAATCTTAGTGGATTAAAGTGCATGGACTGATTCATTGATGCATTCAGTTGTATAAAAGTAAACAAATTGGTTATGCATCAAAGCTGTTTTTGACTTCTTCAAAAATAACTTCTTTTCTTCTGCAACAGCCTTCGTTAGATTTTTCAGTACACCAAGGATTTAAACAAAAGATCAACTAATCTGCTTACATCTGGTACGAATGCAGGAACATATGATGCTCAGTGTACAACTCATAAAAAAAAAAGCTAAAAGAAATCACAGTGCCAGAACAATTCAGACCAGAACATCAATCAGAAAAACTGTGATGTGTCCCCAGTGATGTGTTTCAGGTTACTGTAATTCTTCAACGCAGTCAAACAGACCGACAGAAGCCTAGTTCCATCCATAAAAACAAACTGATGCTTTTCCGGCTGCTGCTTCTCTCTTCAAATTGTTGCCTTAGGCTATGCTCAAGTATGAAAGAGAAACCAAATGTAAAAACAAAATGTAGTGATGCTCTATGGCCGTACAGGTGAGTCTCCTCAGAGCAGCTGCCAGAGATGGTATACCTTTGGTTTGCCATCTCAGTAACTGGAGACATTACTCAGTTTTTAACCAGGATTTCCTCTTGCATGATGCACAATGTCTTTATGAGGAACGAGCTATGGTGAGGCATCTGTGAGATGGATACTGTAGTTGTTACCATATATGTGATTCACAGTGAGTCATTTTTATTACACCAACACCACCTCCCAACCTCCTGTAGTTCATTCCACCATAGAGCCTTAAGGAGTGGGGGGAAAAAAAACAATTAATGACTGGCAAATCACAAATGATGTGAATCAGGTTCAAACATTTGTCTGTTATGTTCACCAAGGCTGCATTTAGTTCATCAAAAATACATTAAAACAGTGACGTATTTTATTCCTGTGATGGCAAAGCTGAATTTTCAGCAGCTATTACTCCATTTGTCAGTGTCACATGACCCTTCAGAAATCATTGAAATGAAAAGCTGATACTTTTTTTCAGGATCCTTTGATGAATAGAAAAAATAATAACAACATAAAAGTTTTTGCTGTGACTTTTGATCAATTTAATGCATCCTTGTTGAATAAACCTTTTTTTTTTTTCTTACTGCCCCCAAACTTTTGAAAATTCTGCTGTGCGTATTTACCTCCACGTGTTGGCATCAGGGTCATAGACTTCAATAGTTTTCAGGTACGTGGTACCATCAAAACCTCCAACTGCCATCAACTGGCCATTTACTACTGCTAAACCAACCTAGAACAAAAGAGAGAATCTGTTTGTTGGGCAATTCTTTTATAAGAGGCTGAAACGAGATCAAAGAATCACATACCCCGCTTCTTCTGGACGTCATGGCGACCACAGGGGACCACTGATTGGTTCTGGGGTTGTATCGCTCAGCGCTGCTCAGTTCTGTGGTATCGTCTCTGCCGCCCACAGAGTAGATCATGTCCTGGTACACAGCACAGCCCAGGTGTTTCCGACGGGTCCCCATGGGTGCCACCGTATGCCAGCGGTTCTCTTGCGGGTTATACCGCTCCACTACCAACAAAATAACTGTTAATAAACATTCTGTATTTCCTTTAGAATACCAGAAATTCAGCAATCAGCACAACTGTTCAAATGTTTGGGATCAGTCAGATTTTTTAAATGTTTTTGAAAGTCTCTCAAGTTCACCAAGGCTGCATTTACTTGATGAAATATACAATAAAACCTGTCATTTTGTGAAACACTATTACATTTTAGAATATAATAAACTAGAAAACGGTTATTTAAAAATGTAATTTATTCCTGTGATGGTAAAGCTTAATTTTCAGCAGCCATTTTTTTTATTATTTTCAATGTTGAAATCTCTTTAATATTTTTGTGGAATTCTCTTCAAAACTCTTTGATAAATAAAAAAAGGAACAGCATTTATTTAAAATAGAAATCCTGATATCTGATCACTTTGGTCTCCAATGTTACTGAGTTTGCATCTACATCTTCCTGTATTTACCTGTATTTAGTGGGGACGTGCCATCTGAGCCGCCCACTGCATAAAGAAAACCTCCTAATACGGCAACAGCCACACCCAACCGTCTGGTACTCATTGAGGCAACACGTGTCCACTTATTCTCTTTCGGATCATACCTGAAAGAAAAATAAATAAATAAATATATATATAAAGTACATATCTCATTATATCCCCTACCAAATGAAAATGCAAGGCATGCCCGTGGATATATTTAGGTACTAATCATCGGATTATTTTAATACTAACCTTTCTACAATGTTGAGACAGGAAACGCCATCCTGACCTCCCACAGCATACAGGTAACCCCCTAATACAGCAACACCCACACTGGTCCTGCAGGTGCTAGTAGGGGCGACATCACTGCTCCACTGGTTAGTCTTTGGGTCATACCTGAGAGATCCAGAACGTAGAGCTCGTATTTATCCATAAAAATGTAATTTATTTAATTCTGTGAGGATTTATTCATTAGATTCTAGATAAATGCTGATTAATTTGTATAATTCAAGCAGCACCTTTCCACACTATTTAGATAAGACGAGCCGTCGTGTCCACCAACAGCATACAACAGATCATCCAGAACACTGACACCAACTCCACAGCGCCGTTTGCTCATGGACGCCACCATCCTCCACTCATTGGTCTGGGGGTCGTAGCGCTCAACGCTTGAGATGGCATCACCACTGCACCAACCTCCCACTGGCAGATAGGACAACAGTCACAAAACAGAACTCGCGTCGCACGACTGCTTAAGTCAGATGAAAATCTTCGAAAGTGAAAAAAAAAAAAAAAAATCAATCAGTGGGATAAGAACTAAAACTCACCAGCAAACAGTACTTCTCCACAACGAATAGGCTTTCTGGGTCGGGTTCTGGGCCCCTGCATTAGGGGGCGCTCTTGTGGTAGCAGAAGGTAGTTCTTTGCTTCATCGACCAAGTCCCTAATAGAGCAAAAAGTGTTGATTAATATGTGCTGATATATATACACGTATATACACATACATAAACTTTACAATAAAACAAGAAATTTTCATAGACCTGAAAAGGTTTTATATACAAATTTCAGGGGGTTTTTTTTATAAACAGACAGTTCAGTTGTCTTTCATAGCTTGTTGCGCTTGAATATCAAATACACACAAAATTATGTCAAAATATATTAACATAAAGTTTTCAAAGTTTGTCTTAGAAAAATCTGGTCTCACTACATAAACTTTTCTATAAGAATGAGCTGACCAGTAAAGAGACCTATAGCAGTTAAAACAATCACGGTTCGTTCAGTTATGCTCTTTATTAGATATTGATCTCTGGCAAAAGGGGCATAAAATTGTTAATTTAATCTGTAGTGGCCAGTGTGGATGATATGGTAAATACTACAATAGTCCAATTATTGAAGTAATTTATAGCACTGTTATTCACACGTACCTACACTCCTCATCACTCTTGATCAGAGGATCTGAACCCACTGTCCCAACCAGAAACTTCGGGCTCAAGAGGGGAAGACGCACATGTTGCAGAACCTGTTGCCATCACAAAAACGGATGAGATGTCTCATGAATTTTATCTAAGTCTAAATAATAACATATTATACATGTAAAACAGAAGAATTGGTACACTACGTAACCTTTTTTTATTTTGTTAAAAATGAACTAAATTGCAGTGTGTATCTCTTTAACAGAGTTCATTGTAAAGCATTATCTATTTTGAAAGGTCATTTCATTGTGGTTGTTGTAGCCCTGTTCTCGGATTTATTTTCAGGGAAGTAGAATGACTATTAATTGGTATAGATATGGTAATATCTTCAGCTAGTCAACAAGCAGTATGTCTATAGTGATTCATATGCTTATATCCGACCTGTGGCAGCTGAGGCCGGCGCTCCTGAATGCTGTATTTAACCCAGGCCATTACAGCATTAAACACCTGCTCCTCACTCCGAACATTGAGCTCATCACTGGAGATGATGTCTATCAGCTGGTTGGCTGGCAGCAGCATGAACTCTTCACTCTCCATCACCTAAAAGGCACACATTATTAGAAACATGAACAGGCCATGTGACGGGTATCAATTCCTTTCAAGAAGCAGATCACAATTATTTGTATAAACATATTCACAGTGTCATACATAGATAGTTTATATTTTTCCTGGGAATTTAACCCATAACACCAGCAATGCATGACCCTTTTAAACTAAATAAAGAAATAAGGAGGGTGGTAATTTGATACCAGCAATGGGGGCTCTTCCCATGAGTCAAACATAACAGGGTTACACGGCCATCAGGGAAACTCTAAACTAGTTGATGGAAAGGTTAAGTCCATGGCTAAAATTAGAAACAGGGAAGTCACACTTAAGGCACATACAGGGTTCTTTCTGATCAGTCTAATTTTTTTCAAAGTAAAAACCGAAGAAATATTTTAAATTACTATTTTTAAAAAACATTTATATTGACTATTTATTTCGATGACTTCTCAAGGCCTGAAATAGCATTTTTTTTCTAAATTGTCTGGAATGTATTACATTTCCAGGAATGTAACAATCCTTATGATAATTACAACCAGAATTCTTCAAAATATCTTCATTGTATATATTACATTGTATAAAATTTTACATTGTAAAAGTGTTTTACATTGTTTTAAAAAAAAAAATAATAAAAAAAAAATCGTTCCTTTTCCTTCAAATCCTCACTTATCTGGCTTATGCTACTCCGAACAATGTTTGAACTTTGTATTTTGAGCACTTCTTGCGTTGTTTTTGCCTCTTCTCGATGACTCGCTTGGTTTAGTCCTCAGTTGGAAGTCGTTTTGGATAAAAGCGTCTGCTAAATGACTAAATGTAAATGTATAAATTAAAATGAATGTATTATGAACAAAATAAATTAGCAGTGGTTCAGTGAACAATAGATTTATAAATTAAATGATTAACAGAGACCTAATATATAAACTAAAATTAACTTATTGAACTTTACAGTAAAGTGTTAGCTACATTGTAATTGCATTTATGATTAATAGAGAGGACATTTAGACCTGTGCTCCACAACCAAAGACAGCAAAAACAAATGAGAAAAGAAAACAAAAAGACTTAAGTTCAAAGTCATGGAACATTCATTGTCAACACAATAGAGGGTGTGTGGAGGTCAGCCATTACCTCCTGAAAGTTATGCTGAGTGAATTTATCAGCAATACGGAGCAGCTCTCTACAGGAGTGAGTGTCGGCGAAGGCCCTGATGCCTAAGCAGTTTGAGGGGTCAAGTTGGCGCTTGAGGAATTCACAGCAGGCTTCCTGAATCTCTGCCAGCTGCAACAAACAAGCAGCGGGCAGCAAAGTCTGCACATTTCCCTCCTCCACGGTCACCTGCAGGCCACAACACAATTTACATCAGCTGGTTTAAAGTTTAATATTGAACTTCAATACAAGCATTGCAGCTTGATATAAAAATGTACAATACTTGAACATTTAGTGCAGCTCTAATATTGAACATACAGCAATAGAAATGCATACCTGGGAGGTGTAGGCAAAGTCGATGAGCAGCTCCATGGCTCGTTCATCAATATCCCGGATGACGACTTCCGTCTGCCGGCTCTCGGCCAGTTCCCCCGTGAACATGGCTCTGAAATAGGGGCTGCAGGCGGACAGGATCACACGGTGTGCATAAATCTTCTTGGCTCCCACCACCAAAACCACATCGCACAGCTCTCGATGCTTGCGGAGCAGGTTGATGACTTCCAAGGTCTGCCGAGGGTGCTTGTCCGAGATGTAGGGCATCCGGGCAGGCTGAGGCACTCCCTCTGGGAGCTTGTTGGGGTCACCCAGGGTGCAACGACTTGTGATATCCATTCCTGTGGTATCTAGGCGTGCACTGGTACCCCTTAGGAAAAAAAAATGTAAGATTATGTTTATAAATAAGTATCTGCTAATATATATATATATATATATATATATATAGTGTGATGTAACCCAAATCTCAAACAAGAAAAAAGTAGGGCGGGATTTGATTGATTCAGAGAAGAAATATCATTACAAGAGAGAGGGGAAGCGCATAGATAAATCATTCAGTTAATAAATACTGCAACATTCCATAAAAAAATAAGAAGTGACCATTTTAATTTTAAATACTTCCCTAATTCAGATAAGAAGTAATTAAAAGATTAAAACCCTTACTTAAAAATACATTCAAAGCATGCCAACATGACACATCTGTGCATGCATGAGCAATCTGAATATTGCACCAAAAAAGTTGCTACCTTAAAAATTATTATCTAGAGATCAAGCAGTTTGAACTCTATGCAAACAAGCTTGAAAACAGCACGAAAAGCAAATATGACAGCAACACACGCCCATACCATACATCACAAATTAATTCACTGACTCTATCGGAATGTGATGAATATTCCTTAACAAAAAATACATGTAGAGTAACTTAGACGTGTTATATATTGCCATTTAACCGCTGTGATATCCGTCTAAAACCTATTTAATTAAGTTTAAACTCGTGTGAGTAAAATGGTTGATCTGGAGAGTGAAATGCTGAATTAAGACAATGCAGCAAAATAGAAATGTGACTTCAATCAGGCAAATATATACACAAACTAACTCGATGTTATGGACGTTAGAATGACATTTTAAAAATAGGCAAATGAAATATTTCTCGTGTTGTTGATAATGATAACCAATTTGACAGGGCCCAGAGTATCCCTTATTCAAACCTTACGCACTAGCAGATTTCCTTTAGGCAGAACCAAGAAAATAAATGTACAGCTCTAATGCACATAACGTCAAAGTAGTGATATTATCTGTGAAAGAGACTCACTGTTTACACACTGGCTAACGGAGTGTCCCTTAGCTCTAGCTTAGCGAAGTGCTGGACTTGTTTTGATTTAGCAGCTTTTCACAGGTGGCGATACTCATTGTAGGACTATGGCAAAAGAGGCGTTATTCCCTCACCTTATTTGTCCATTTAAACGGTCCAGGTTGAATTTTAAGTCGTCGAGATTTAGCCAGATAATATCAAGACAACCGCTCGGTTTACGGGACACCATCCACTTTTATTTTTTTATTTTCCAGAAGAGGAGTTTCCTGACAGGACCGGAAACAAGCTTTTTAAAATACAAGTCCTGTAAGTCAACTTATCTGTTCATACGATTACGGTGCCAAAAGTGCCAGAAAATATTTTAATTAAGCTGTACATTTATTTAATTTTTACAAATACTTCAACTGGATAATTTACTTTAAATAATGTTCTCCTGTTACCAGCCATATCAAAACAGCACATAAAAGTTACAGTAGATTTTGATGTAAACGGAGTTTGAGGTTTTGGGAGTTGTTTTCGGGAAGGTTCATCACGTTTATGTTTTTGTTAACTAAAATTAAAACTATAAAACAATATTTTTGTTAATTGAAATAAAACATAAATATTAGATGAACTTGGCAAACTAACTGAAATAAAATAATACTATTCAAAAGTTAATAAATACCATAGGATAGAGTAATAACACTGCTTCACGTGTAGAGTTTTCAGACCTTGGTTCAGCATAAAAGCACTTTATATTAGTTGCACATTCAAGTGTTTGCAAAGACAGTAATTTCACACTTTTTCTCTTTATGTGGCTATTTGACATATAAATGGACTTTTGGGTAAATTTCCTATAGTTAATTTTTTTATTTTTTTTTTATTCTTTATTTTTATCTACTTGAAAAAGCCAAATAATTTAGTCACACAAATTACATTGATGTCAATGCAAAATCACATGTCAATGCTATAGCTCAATTTTTATGTTGGTTCAACTCAATTAATTGTGTTTTTAAAATCTAAATGACCTTAAATGTTAAGTTGCAATTACTTAAGTTAATTTATTTATTGTGTTCAAAAGAATGTTAAGTGCAATCATATATTCAAGCAACAAAGGTTTTCTTGTTAATTTTAACTAAAATTGATTCAAGTAGGGTTAACTTAAAAAGTGTGTTGCAAAAATTGTGCATTTGTATTTTATATAAATCCAACATAATTGTTTTCAGTCCAGTTATTTTTGATGATACAATTATTTTTAAAAATTATATTGTTGCTGTGTTAAAGGACATTTACACATTTAAATTGAAACATGTTTTAAACTGTGTTATAGGACTATAAGATCATGTTTTTTTGTTTTGTTTTTTTTTTCCCACTTGCACTTGATGTTTGCCTTTTAAGAATTTGCGTGTTTGTGTCTGTCTTTAAGGTGTGTAGTTTACTGACAAAGACATTCTAGACGAGACTCAAATAAGCTTACATTCTTCCACAGTTTATTGGAATGTTTTCAGACAGGTTTATAAGTCTCTCTCTCTCTCTCTCTCTCTCTCTCTCTCTCTCTCTCTCTCTCTCTCTCTCTCTCTCTCTCTCTCTCTCTCTCTCTCTCTCTCTCTCTCTCTCTCGACTTCTCCCCTCCCTTTCGCTTCTCTCTCCTGCAGTCTCTCTCTTTCTCTCCCCGTTCCTGTTCAGTGGCATGTTTTATTATACTCTTTTGTAGTGTGTTTTACTTTGTGCATTGGTGGCCCCCAAGTTGAACCATAGGAGGGTTGTGGGGGCAAACAACACCACTAATAGAGGTAAACAAGACCTTCTCAATAGACACTGCATTAATCAGCCTGAACTCTGCAAATACCATAAACGAACAGAAGAGATGTTACTATATTTTCACAAGACAATCAAACAATAAACCAAAACATTGTTACTTAATGAAACTTAATGTTCATGATGAAAATTTAACTGATTTCTTACAGTCACGAGAGTTTTTTTTAATAAATTTTCTGCATTTTCTGCAATATTTATGTTTATAAAAAACAAATAGAGTTCATAATATAATTTTATAATATAATAAAATGTGATTAATTTCAATCTTAATACTGCAAAATAAGTCTAATATTTATATACTTTTATGTTTTTACCTGAATTGCCTTTCAACTGCTGAAAAAAAGAGAGAGAGAGAGAGAGAGAGAGAGAGAGAGAGAGAGAGAGAGAGAGAGAGATGTAACATTATTTCAAACATTGTCTCGTACAGTTGTGAAAGTTTTCTGAAATGGTTTCCACAAATCATAATTTAAGACTATGCAAAAAGGATCCTCCCCTTCTTCAAATATCCAAACTTTGCAGTGCTGCCAGCAACCCCTGGATTTCAGTTCTGAGGTGTGAGGAAGGCAGAAGAGACCAGGAATAGTGTGCAATGCAGGTGGATCCCAGCATTAAATAGCCAATGCAACATCTCATAGCAATGACATCACTTCTGCTTTTGTCCTGGCTTCTTTGACTTAAAACCATACACATAAAACATGTGTCATTCTACATAGACAAAACACTGGACGTCAAGCACATCAGAAAAAGAGCTCTCGGCTACTCTGAGATTGATATCACAAGGTCTGTTTCTCCAAAAAAAATGTGTGTCCCCCTCCTTTCCCCCCCTCCTGGGAAAACAGCGACAACAAATTAGCCTTCTTTTATGTCAGAGCCTAAGGACGACACTTGGACAGCCCCGAGATTGTCCACCCGAGTTCCCATGAACCTCACTAACCTTCTCTTTCAGTGCAGAAGGAAGCGGCCATTGTACCAGCACCTGTTTCTGTGGAAATTGGTGAAATGATGGCTTTGTTAGGCATTGCCCAGGCAACCAGGAGAAAAGAGCATGAGGGTGAGCGGGAGGAGGAGGTGGGGCAGCTGAGGTTTGGGTGGGGGGGAGGGGCCACTGGACCTGGAGGTCCCACTCTTGAGAGGACATAAGGGCTGAGTTATAATTGGGCAAATGACTTATTCTTACCAGGTTGTTCCACTACATAGCTGCATTAAATTGATCAAAAGTGACAATAAAGACATTTATAACGTTACAAAAATGTCCACTTCAAATAGACACTGCTCTTTTGAATTTTCTATTTATCAAAGAATCCTAAAAAAAAAAAAAAAAAAAAAAAATGTACCACGGTTTCCATAAAATTCTGTTGTCAACATTAACAATAATAATAAATATTTCTCACCATATCAGCATTAGAATGTTTGAAGGATCATGTGACACTGAAGACTGGAACAATGATGCTGTAAATTCAGCCTTTGCATCACAGGAGTAAATTACATTTAAAATTGTTTTAAAATAGAAAAGCTATTTTAAATAGTATTTTTTTTTTTTTTTTTGCTTTTGTTGTATTTGTGATCAAGTAAATGCAGCCCTGGGGCATTAAAAAACGTACAAATGGTAGTGTATGATTAAGACTATATGTATCCAGAGGAGCCAGAGATGGTAAAAACAATAAAGTTAAATGAATAAATAGATTAATAGTATATACATAAAAAGTACACTAATAAATTCTATTACATTAACACATTAGTTAATGTTCATTCAAATAGTTAAAATGTCATGAAATGTTTTACAGAAGTGTTATAGTTACATATTTATCTGATATGTCCCCATGTATTTACCAGGACCTTGGTTGAAAACCAAGTTGAAAGTTTACTGTATCATAACAGAGAAAACAGATTATCGTTTCTTTGAAGGCATCATATGAATGAAGCTACTGAAAGCATGGTCTGAGTCTCCCACCAGAGGGCAATCATTAATCAGGAGTCACAGATGTGTGAACACGCTCATTAGCTATGCTGTAAGGCAGGATCTTCAAGCTTCAAAGCTATATGCCTATATGCCAGCTGCCAATGTCATCTATTTCTGCAAAGCTGAATCATTCTAGCTAAAGAAACATTTCTTCTTATGTTGAAAACAGTTGTGCTGCTATGTATTTTTATGGAACCGATACATTTTTGTTTTCTGAATTTTTTTCAATAGAACTCTTATGTAACATTATAAATGTCTTTACTGTTATCCTTGATCAGTTGAACTCATTCTTGGATCATGAAAGTATTATTTTCCTTTAGAAAAAAGGAAATTCCTTTTGAATAGAAGGGTATTATGTATAATAACTGTTAACATATTTATTTTTGTAACACACACACACACCTTAAGGTAGTATGACTTTATGTCGTCAACCAGGCTGTGGAACAGAGTAACTTGCCTTTAATTCTGAATAAAATTACTTTTAATAAGCCAAATATATGGTCAGGCAGAGAGGGAGCAGCATCAGTACAGTCAGGTCTGGAAAGTCCCAACCGCTTCACTCAATCCGAGCAAATCCCCCTTCCTGAACTGACCACATTTGAGCCATTGATTGGTTGACCATTTCCACTAATGACAGCCCTCAGTCTGAGCATAAGCAGTGAAAGCTCTATCTGTTGCTCCAGTCTGAAAAAGGAAACTGGTCACGATGCGTTGAATTATCAAGAACCATTTAGTAACCCACAAAAAGTATGTAACTTGTACAAAAATACAAACTCGGTCCTAAGTGGATAATAACATGCATATATGATACCACATATCTTTCTCTTGGGGATGATTTGTGAGTTGTAAATGTGGTCAGTTGAAGCAAATAATATATTTTACAGACTCACTCTGGTGTTTATACTGCCTAAAACTTGGCATTTCTCAGCAGAGCAAATATTAAAGTAAAAGTTTTGGTGTGTGTGTGTGTGTGTGTGTGTGTGTGTGTGTGTGTGTGTGTGTGTGTGTGTGTGTGCGTGCGTGCGTGCGTGCGTGCGTGCGTGCGTGCGTGTGTGTGTGTGTGTGTGTGTGTGTGTGTGTGTGTGTGTGCGCGTGTGTGCGCGTGTGTAAAATAATTTCAAGGCTTTTATTATTTTACTAACCCCAATAATTTTACTTTAATGTTTTACTTTAATATTTTTTTTCATATTATATATATATATATATATATATATATATTACATTTTAATACTAATCCCATACTTGTATTTTAATATTTGCTATTATATACAACTGTACAAAAGTTTGGAGTTATAATCAGTCCACCATGCTTTAGTTTCATTGGTTTGGTACTATAGTCCAGTGGGTTGATGAGCACAGGGGATGGTGCACTGAATTGGGGTGGTCTTTGTTTCACTCCCACTGGCATTAAGTCAGCGAGGTGATGGGAGTGCTGTTGGCATGCCAGCTGCCAAGAAAACCCACTGCACCCGGCTCTTGTCTCATTCCCATGCGTACATTCAAGACAGAGACAAAAAGCAA